GTGAGGGTGGAGAGGGGGGAACCGGGTCTGGGGGACCCCTCAGGGTGGGACAGAATGGGACCGGGCCTGGGCGACCCTTCAGGGTGGGAGAGAGAGGGATCGGGCTTGCGGGATCCCTCAGGGCGGGGAGAGGGAGCCGTGGAGACGCTTGTGCCGGTGGTTTCTGGAGGGCAGGATGCTTCCCTTCTCCCGCTGGGAATGGGCAGCAGTCCCTGATGCCTGTCCAGCTCCCGGAGGGGTGTGAGGAGGGGGGCTCTGACCCCCCGTCATTCACATCAGCGGGGAGCTGCGGAGGCTGAGGCCGTGCTGCCCGGCGGAGGACGCCCACGTAGGGAGACAGGGATGAGTCAGTATTCCTGATAACCGAGAAATTACGCTAGTTCCCGCTTCACCGCTGCCCTCAAGCTTTATTAACCAGGCAGGTTGCTATCGGTTTCGATTCTGGTAAGCTGGAGGACAGTTATTTTAAATCTTGTGATTTGTTTCAGAGAACAGCCCGGAGAAAGGTCATGCAGATGGTCAGCCGGTGGTGATCCTTCTAGGATGGGCAGGCTGCCAGGACAAATACCTGGCCAAATACAGTGCAATCTACAGTCAGAAGGTGAGTAGCTTATTCGGATTTTCATGACGCTGTCATACAGCTCTCTGAGAAACTGCCTCTTTTCTGCGTCTTGGTAAAATCGCCCTAAAGCCCCCCCTATCTGTCTGAAGAGTCGGGAGGGAGTGGTGAATTCTGTTGCCTTTGAAGGCTCCTTGTCTCTTGGAGCCCAGGCAGCGTTATGTAACGGTTGCTGATGTCATCTCTGTGCATGCAGCTGAAACAAAAATAACCTCCTCAGGGAAGCTTGGGCATTGCATGAATCGCTGGAGTATTGTAAAGCTTTTAAAACTCCGAGGTTATTCATGAATTACATGAACCGTGTTACCTTACCGAACAGGCAAGCACGCGGGGAAAGATGCTGCTGCTTGCTGGTAGGCCGCAGCACGCGCTTGGCAAGGCCAGGCTGAGCACTGGCAGAGCACATCCGCATCTGTCGTTCCGTCAGCTTTTCCTTCCTGTGGAAATGATTCATCTGAGCTGTAATGTAGATTAATTTCATCCTATCTACGGAGCAGGCATCCTGTGATAGTAACACCAGCTCACTAGGATCTCCTTGTCTTTGAACTAGGGAGGTTTCACCAATGCTGTGCGTCAGGGTATCTTCCTTTGTAATACTGTTTTTTACTGGAATGACCCCAGCTTGTTTTATTGGGATACAATAAAACGTTTTTTATCAGCATACAAGATCAGCTATTTATCCAAATCTGTTTCAGCTATAAGTGGCAGAGTTTGTACATTAACCAGTCTATTGCTAGCGCGTAATCCAGTGCAAGAATCATTGACTGGCATGTTCTAATGAAGAATTAATTGTTAAATGACTGTCGTGACTAAGGTGCTGCCGAGCAGAGGGGGAGCACGTTGCGTGGCAGCCTGCCAACTTCTGTGAAAATACCTTTCTTTCAGAAAGGTGGTAGGATTGGGGAAAGGAGAGAAAATGTTTTCTTAGCTTCCTAATGAGGAAGTGGCCGCCACCATGGCAAGATGGTATTGGAAGACTTTGATTTAAGAACCCTCTCTTCTTCCTGGTTCGCTGTTCAGGGAGCTCTGGGCAAGAGGGCTGTCTTGGTGTGTAACGTCAGTGAGTTTAGGTGATAGGAAAGATGTCGAACACTTAGAAATGTAGTTCAGAGATCCTGTTTCCCAATCTGCACGTCAGTGTAAGGTCTTCACTGTAAAAGCAGTCGCTCAGGCGTTCTGCATCTCTGAACAGTGCTCTTCCTTTGCCCAGCTAGGGAGTTTCAGAAAGGCTGATGAAAATCACGTCAGTGTTGGTTGTGGGTGAGTCTCGGAGACAGCTGCAGTTGAGTACTCCCTGAGGACAGGAAGTTCTTCCTCCTCCTTGCGTTCGTTTCAGCGTTAGGAGCCAGATGTGTACCGGAGCAGGCCCTTTTTACGGAAGTGGCTGATCCTGGAGGTGTGTGAGCTGAGGAGATGGTTTCCTCTCCCCGAGTGAAGATGAACAAAATAAGAGCATGGGTGGCAGTGTCCGCAGGGGCTGTGCCAGTTAGCACAGGATTTGAAAGGATCTCAAACACCATCAAATCCAGGTCTCTGCTGTTGCAGAAACCTTCTTGTAGTGCCGTGTTCTGTTAGGATTAATACAATCCTACTTGTATTGCTACTGACACTACAGAGTTTCTCCTGGTTTCTGTTGGAAACCTGTCCCAAGTTTTCATGTCCTCTCTACTGCTTACTCTGTGTGATTTACAGCACAGCCTAAATGCGCGTGGCCTCTCTTTCTGTTCTTCTTAGGGGTGCACCGTCATCCGCTACACAGCTCCATGGAGGATGGTCTTCTTCTCTGAGACCTTTGGCATCAGATCCCTCCAGACCCCAGCCAAACGACTACTGGAGCTTCTTTTTGACTACAAAGTTGAAAACAGACCAGTTCTTTTTCATGTTTTTAGCAATGGCGGTGTCATGCTCTACCGTTACATCGTTGAGGTGCTCCACACTGACAAGCCATTCAAGAACCTCAGAGTAGCGGGCGTCATTTTTGATAGTGCCCCTGGCAGAAGAAACTTGTCAGGAGGCCTTCGTGCCCTGGGAACTGTCTTGGTGTCCACGAATGTGCTGCTCAAGTATTTCCTCTTACTCGCTTTTGCTATTACTGCTGTTGTGCTGCGGATCTTTCTGTACCCGTTGACCCGCTTCATCCACGAGAGCCACTACGGTGCCCTGCTGAAAGCGCCCTCGCGCTGGCCGGAGCTTTATCTCTATTCCCAAGCTGATGCCATCATTAAGGCCAGCGAAGTTAAATACATGGCTGATGCACGGCAGCGGCTCGGTGTCTCCGTGAAAGTTGTAGACTTCTCGGATTCGGGTCACGTCAGCCACATGCGGGTGTATCCCACCTACTACAGCAACCTCTGCACGACTTTCCTGTCTGACTGCGTCGGGGGCTCACTTCGTTAGCGCTTTAACGACCTCCAGTGCTTGCCTCTGCTTTGCTCAGCTTGTATGGGAAATGTCACGCCCTTTGCCTTTGTGTCTCTAAAGGGAGGAAAGTAGAGACTCCTTAGCTTGCTGTTTTCCCCACACCATCTGCAAGTCTGAAAGCCTCCAGGCTGGCCCTTGAGCCAGCCGTGTCCTAGCAGAAAGTAGACGTGGATTAATTTAAAGCACTGAAGGCAGAATCCTGGCACGGCTGAAGTTGATGTGCTCGAGATCACAGAACAGAATTTCACATGGAGTGTTACTTATTTCTTCCTGTCTCGTATTGTCCTCTGCTTCCCGTGTTGTCTCCTTGTCCCTGATGTGCAATGTGTGTGTTTTGTTGCCGTGCCCTGATGTTACAACACAGCTCTTCAATGTTGTCGTTGTGGGGTTTTTTTCCTCTCTGCCATTTCTTTTATTTTGCAGTGACCAAAAAGAAGCAGCTCTACAGGACTTCTCTCTTCTCTCGGTGCATCCCGGCTCTTGTTACACTCCTTGCCTGGAGATCAGGCCTGGAAGCCAAGTGTAAGACCTGGAAAAGCTGTGTGCAGGGCAGTGTGACCAGGCTGTCACCTGGTTCCGTCAGAGAGCTGAGGTGGAGCAGTCAAAACAGTGATCCTCAGCGGGAGCTCGAGTGCTTGTGATGACTTATGCGTTCTTCAACCAAAAAACTTAAGTTAACCTTTTTGAATGTGTCTCGTGTTTTGTTTCTCTTCCTTCCGCTCCTTTCTGTGAGTTGTTTTGCTTCCGCGGAGAGCTGCGCACTGATTATTGTGTGTCTTTGAGCAGCCCATGTTGTGCTTCTAGAAATGCAGGGAAACCGGCACAGCTGTAACCCCAAAGACTTCAAAACCAGAAAAGTGGAACTTCAGAGAATAATAAATTAAACTGTCTCTTGGAGCTACGACTTCCACTGCCTCTTTCTTAAATCCCTCCCAGTGAGCCAGCCCATGAATGACCACAAAACTCCATGTTTTTCCCCATGATGTTCTCTTCAGATGATCAGTCTTTGCTGGCTGCGTAGCGTGTATTAGTAATACAAGAAATTAATTCCCTCCTCCTAGTGAAAACGTAGCTGGTTGTGCTGTGTTCCAGCCTTGGCTGTTGTTTATCAGGGGAAAGGCAGGGACAGAGACCGAGGAGAAACCCGGGGACAACATGCTCGTGCCATGTCACAGCATTACTAGCTAATTAATAATGTGGTGGGCAGGGTTAGCTTTCAATTCCTAGTGAAAGGTGGCTGGGAAGAGGCTTTGGAGGGCTGTGCTGTGGGCCTGTTGGGACAAGGGGCTGCCCTCGGAGCTGGCATCGTCAGAAGCGCGAGGATTTAACGAGGTGCTGCCAGCCCGCGGACCGCTACGCTTGCCTCGGGGTGCTGGCGTCCACAGTGACAAAGCACTTGCTGTGCTCAATCCAAAGGCGGAAAGGGAGACTTCTTGGGAAGCAGTAAAATCATTTGGGAGTTCCGGAGAACTGCAACACCCCAGAAATGGCAGGGGGAGGTGTGGTCAGTGGCCAGAACAACTGGTTTTGGCGTAGCAACGCCCAGTTAAAGCAAACAATAACCCCACCTCGGGTGTGGTTTTAAAGAATTAACTGTAAAAGGGGCTGGTGGCTTGGTTTGCCTTCACTTTTTTAAAAGGGAAAACTGGTTCCAGGCACCTTGTTGCCTGGGGTCCAGCCGTCTGTGGGAGTCAGCTTCCACGGCCAAGATGGGCCGGGGGGCTGCCCTGGGGTGAGGCAGCCGTCGTCCTGAAGCCGCTTTGCACGAAGACATTCTTGTTCGTAGGGTTTGGACCTGTAAAAATCCAGGTATGGTCCCCTCTCCCAGCAAGCCCGTCAGAGATCTCCCAGTTGGTTAAATCAGGCTCCTGGGCTGTGCTGTCAGTGCCGTAACTCCTGAGCTGTGATCTCTTTGCCTCCCAGAGCCGGGCTGTGTCTTTGAGCATCCAGCCTGTTTGTGGCGCTGGGAAAACTCCTGAGGAGCGGAGGTGATAAAGGTTATTTCACCAGCCCTTGCCCTCGTGCTGGTTCCTACGGGTTCAGTATTTACAGACCAGTTAAACACTCCATAATACACACCCCTGACCTGATCCTGTTCTGCTGGGCTGGGGATCTGCTGTTCCGGTTATGGCCGTGGGCGTTGGGCTTCTGCGCGAGGACTCGGGCTGTTGGCAGGACCTGGAGCCAAACCCTCTGACGGGATGGTGAAGCTCCCTCCCGGAAAAGCCCCACGCGTGGCAGATACGCCTTCCTCTCCACCGCGGGACTGCTGCTCCCTGGGGTCCGGCTCTGCTCCACCTCCCCACAATTGAGGGCAGGGAGCGGGTGCTGCCGGCGGCTGGAGCTCCACAGTTGGAGTTACGCAAGCGGGAACCAGCTCACGGGAATTTCCACCGTTGCGAAAAACAAAAATTGAAATTCCGGCTAATTCCCGGACGCCTGGCTTTAAGAGCAGGGGGAGCTCCAGCGAGCCCAGTGATTTACAGAGGAAGTCGTCAGCCCCAGCCTGGGTGGGTTCAGTTTCCCCCGTCCCGGCAAGTTCTAATTACGAGCAGCGTGTTAAACGTACCGTGTGATGTATTGCCCTCTCCTTTCCCATACAGCATGTATGCTCACCTCCCCGTCTGCCCTCTTTATTTCTGTTGCTTGTTAGTTGAAACGGAAGGTTAATAACTTGGAGCCCGAAGGCACGCAGCCAAGAACTGATCCAAGCGCTACGGGATTTAAAAAACCCAGCCGCTAATCCTCGCTCAACTGTCACCGTTTGGTGCAGCCTCTCTTCCCGAAGAGCTTCCGCCTCAGCGCTGAAAGCCAAAGGTTGGGATACCTCGGCAAATCCAAGTAATGAGACGAGCGAGGGGAGGGATACTGCCGATCTGATCTTTGGGAGGGAGGATGCAGCCCCCAGCCAGGGCTTGATGGGTGGGCAAGGAGCGGGATGTGGTGCCCGCAGCCTCAGCCTGGGGAGTGTGGAGCGCATTTTCCTGCCATCCATGGTGGAGCAGCGCGGGTGCAACACCGGCGGCGGGGGGGGAGGAGGATGCCCAGGGGCCAGCTGCTGCCATTCCGCGTTTCCCAGTGAGGTTCGTTTCACAGGAGCACGAACGAACCTTTCCTCACGCTGCGATGGAGCTGGCTGCCGGCTCGCTGCCCTGTGCTGCCCTTGCCCCCCCGGCAGCGGAGTTGATACAGGAAGGATATAAAAGGGAAAAAAAAGTGCTGAGTCAGCGGTCAGGGCCTGTGCTGGAGGGTGCTCAGGTGGTGCCCGTGCAGCCAGGGTGCCCTGCGGCGCTGGGATGGGGGCAGACCAGGGGCTGGGGGTCACATTTTGGAGCAGGGGGAGCATCTTGCAGTGTGAGAAATCCAAACCGAGCCCCTGGGTGACCCGTGCCCATGCTGTTGCCTTCGGTGTGTCGAGGCAGCACACGGTGTGGGGGTGGGCGGATGTCTCGCCGTTGTGCGTGTCGGGATGGCGCAGCGTCCCCGCGGAGTTCTGCCGCTGCTGGAGACGCGTGAGTGGCTCCAGAGGGAACCGAGCAATCCAGCCCCATGTCCTGCTTCCCTGAAAGAGCCGGGGCAGGCGTGAGGCTGGTCTCCATCACCCCACGGAGGAGCTGGGGGAGGCGGTGGGCCTGGGGTGGGGGGTTCCAGTCCGGGAGGGAGCAGCAATCCACGAGGTGGCAGCAGCCCCCCTTCCCTGGGTGGACACATCTCCGTCTAGAAGAGGAGCAGAGCGAGGCTGGAGAGGACCCCATGGCTTTGGGGTGCTGAAAGCATCTCCCGTGGAGGGTCCCCTCGCCTCCAGCAGCACCCAGCTCCGGTGCCAGGAGGCAGGAGCCATGCGCTGACACGAACAGCCGTTACCCCAGAGCTGCCTGCCCCAGGAAATCACACCAGACCCTGTTTCCCAGCAATGACTGAACACGAAAACAGAAAGTCTAACGGCGGGGGGGGGGGGGGTGCCCACACCCCACTCTGCGCGCGCGATTGGCAGGCCGGGTCACGCCACTTCCCGCTCCGTCACCTGAGGAGGGCTGCCGGGTTCTGTAAGGCGATCCATGCAATGTCACTGTTAGACAGACTGTGGGTCAAGTTCTCTGGGCTTGATGCCAGGCCTTCCTGAAATACTGGGTGAATTGGGACTGTGAAGCTCTCCTGTGGGCCCTATAGCACCCCCCCACCGGCCTGCTTGCCTCTGGAAAGGCTGGCAGGACCCCCAGCACATGGGGCAGTTAGGAAATAGGATGGCACAGCGAGGGGCCACGGCCACTGTGCATCTCCCAGCACAGGTCCTGCAGCCAGCCTGGGGCATGGGCAAGGGAGACAGGGGCTCCCGCTGCCTGCCTGACATTCCTCCTTCCCTTTGAGCCCCCATCCCTAGTTCTCCGCATCCTCACATACCCACCCCAGCAGCACCAGCCAGGGACAAGCCACCCAGGCAAGGGTTGAGGGATGCACGACATCCTTCCGTCCCCCTCCCAAAACCACAGGGGCTGGGGCAGGGAGAGCTTGGCCAGCTCCTGCCTTCCCCCCCACACCCGGGTGATGAATGAGCTGACAATAGGGTATTGATAAGGAATTAACCTTGAGCCCTTCTTGCTTCAGTGTCAATAGAGCAGGAGCCAAGTACACACGTTTGATTGGAAATCTGTGTTTGGTCTCTGCTGCCTCTGCACCCATTGACGTGTCAGGGAGAGGAGAAGCACCCCGCTGCCCCCTCCCCAGCCCTGAACCCCCAATATGTCCCTCTCAGCTACCCCAGCCCTGCGGCTGCCGGGGG